TTTGCGTTTTTGGGCCATCTATGGAGGATAAGTTGTCATTCTCAGATGTGCAGCCCGGCGTACCGTTGTGAGTCGTGGGTTGAGACAGATGGATGGTTTGGGTGAAGTGGGGGAGGACGAGTTGGAGGAAGAGAAATTTGTTCAAGACCAATTAAGGTGCGCGCCAGTCCAGTCGTTTTTTCCCCTCGATCCAACTGATTGGACAAACAAGACGTGTCGCCAAGACAGATGTGCATATGCTGGATCGTCGTTTATCGTTTTCATTCTCAATCTAGGACTTGTTTCCATGCATAATATCAGACAAATTCGGCTACATCCTGGCTCCCGGTCCGATAATGCTTCACCCGGTCCGATAATGCTTCATCCACCGCTCAATTCGCTGTCAGCGCGTTGTCAGCGAAATGGACCTGCAGTCCTGCAGACAGAGTACTCACAGCACGCAATGCTGCCCACCGTGCCTCCTTTGCAATCCCATCCTCCGCAATGGCTGCCCGCACCGGACCCTCGCTGAGCTGCCCCACAACACCGTCGTTAGGTTTTTCTGCATCATCAGGCAACTCAGCCTCAAGCTCCGGATCTGCGTCCTGGACTGGAGCCACCTCTTCCTCGCCCGAGCGACTAGTGGCTTGCTCCCTATGGCGGGAAGCCCGGTCCCGCCAGTGCTCACGATATGCCGTCTGTCGAGCATCGAAGGCGGCCTGCTGGGTCTCGGTGCGGGGTCCATATGGTCCCAAGACTGTTTTGCGCCGACTGCGGGGGGGGTTCGAGCGATTTCTTTTTGCTTAGCCATCTGCCTATGGTAAGTGATAGATCAAGATGAATGTGAAACGAGATTACGAGGCGGGAAATGTTGTTTACATGGCTTGTGCGCGCCAATTTTAATGTTCTTGCGCCACATGCATTCGGCCCATGAAGGCCGAGCCACCTCGTGGTACTTAATCCGCGTCGAAGGGTTTCAAGTGCTCAATGGTTTCTTCTACACCAGTGCGTCGTTGATGCTTTTCTGTTTTTTGAAAGTTTAGGCTAATCAGATTCGCCAGAAACCCGTTGAAAATCTCTGGGTCTTGCACTACCCCCCCAGCGACGGTGCGACTCCCACCAGAGTTCAGCTCGAGACAAACCCACCACACACATTGCTCTCGAACAGCCTGCTTCTGTCGAAGTTCTTTGCCTGCTCTCCTTTGGACTGTCCGGAATGCCCGAAGCCCTATGTCAAGATCGCGAAACTGGGCAATGTGGGCTTCACCATGCTGATGCCTTGCTTTCACGGACGCCGCACATGATGCATCAAATCCGGATTTCACCCCGAACTTGGCAATTTCTGCCTTGCTACCCGCCACTATCGAAACTCTGTCAGGTGCATTAGTTGTCGTCAAGCATGGTGGGACTGCGGATGGCTCCACGCTCAATGCAAATATTCCCTTGATCGACATTGATGCGGAGGATGTCCCCCTTGTTAACCACATTGTACAACGGTCAGTTGATGTATCACCCTGACGCTCTCCAGTGGCTCATGTGTTTCAGATGGGTTGTCCATATGCGCTCCTTTGAGACCTAGTTGACTTCCCTGTACATTGCGTATATTCTAACAATTTGACAATCATTGTGCTAGATCGGCAACCTTAATCAAGCATCTCTGATTATCTGCCGGTCCGGGGGAGATTACATACAATTTATTTGTCAAGTTGTTCGGCCACTGAGTTTCCGACCAGCCACGGTCTGGCGATGAAGAGCATCCAGGGCCCGAAGTTCATCGTCATCCTGTACCTGCTGTCGACGCATACGGCGCCGACCATCGCGCTCACAAAGTGCCTCAAAGCCATGCTCCCGAATAAATGCCCTAGTTGTTCAAGCTATTGTTGCACGCAGAGTCCAAAAGATCGCTCACCTGTTTCTGTGCTCCTTCCGACGGCTGGATATCTCAGAAGCATGGCGCTTGCGATAGGCCCGGCTCCGCTCTCGCGACTGTAGGCGTTGTCGTTCGAGATTTGCACAATCGAGCGTGTCTTCACGGGTGGCGGGAATGGCGGCCTGAGCCTCGCGCAGCCTTGTATCCTTGAGAAATACAATCAAGCTGTTCAGTATATGACGCACCGAGCCATGCGCTTTCGCGCCTTGTCGTTCAAGTTGTCCTTGTTCCTAAAATAATGAGGTAATACTAAGTACGACGCAACAGCACAGGAGCAACATCTTACGCTTCTCGATACTTGCGTGACGCCTCGCGGCGCGCGATCATGGTAGTTCCGCTACGAGTTTTGCAGCCGACGGCGACCGTTAAGGGTGACATGAGAGCGAGAGACAGAGAGGTTTCACGGTGACACGTCATTGTCACAGGTCATTCACCCACAAATTCGTGCAGAGTGAGGGAAATAATGGAAGGACCAGTCTGGGGAAAGTTATAGTATCGATATGGGAGCCTTTGGTACTCACTACACCAATTTTTCCTCTAGAGCATAACAATTTTGGGTCGAAGACAAACATGAAATGTTGGTTCTAATGTTTGTTTAAGCACTTTCAGTGCGCCGTCAGTATGACCACCTAGAAAAATGTTTAAAAATCAGAGAAAATTTTGAGAGGCAGCCAGGACCTATCGCTTGCGAATGATACATGCCGCCAAGTGTATCCGTAAAATTTGAGAAGGCTATATGCATTTTTCGGGACGCTGGACAGCAGGATCACGCGTGATAACATCTGCGTCACGTTCGCGATAACCAGCATTTGGCGCACAATCGTATCGTGGGGTTAGGGTTAGTCAAAGGCCTTGCGGCAAAGTTGAAGTCACTGCCGAGATAGACTTAGAATGGCTTAGAAGAGAGAGAACGACACATTTTTGTATTTCGCGAGACATTGTAAACGAGTAACAAGTACCAATGCCGCCTACAAATCGGAAAACACAGGTGGCGGCATGTCCGCACCACCAAGCGACGCGAGGCCTTCGAAGGTGTATGCCACGCGACTGGTATCGACCCAGCCATACCGTTTTTTCAGCAGCGGCTCGAGGATATTGTTGAATGACGACGAAGCTTTCGGGGCAAAGTCTTGGGCAGTACGACAGTGCGGACACTCGATGTTGTAGTCCAAAGCCTGGCGGAGGCAGACATAACAGAAGGCATGCCCGCAAGAGGTGCTGATATTGTGTTAGACAAAATTGGGAGCGGTGGATTATGCTCACTCACATAACGGGATGCGACAACAGACAGGTACAAATAATGCAGAGATAGTCTGGATCGACTTTGTTCGGAGTGGGAGGAGGGCGTGCCGCTGTGAGATAGCCCGATTCCTGGTCCCAAGGAGCAAGATTGAAGATTTTGTGGAAATTGGTGTCGTCGGGCTCGGGGGAGAACTGCTCGTTGTCCGTAATGTCATGAGCTTCTTCGAAGGCAGCCAGGACCGCTCCTCCCAGGGCCCGGGCAGCCTCAGCTTCAGCTTCACTGGCCATGACATCCGCAAAAGCCGCTGCAGAACGAGCTGCTGCAGAACGAGGGGCGGGGCCACCGGGCCATTCGTCGCAGCGAGAATGGGAAGGAGCAGGGGCGGCAGGGAGAACAATGATGTCTTGCATCAAGAGGTCAGCGCTCGTTAGAAGAAGTCGTAGCATTATGACACACCATCGTCGTCGTCGTCCCCTTCAGCAGCCCCATTACCTCCTCGTAAGCAAAACGGGATGGCCGCCAAGTTGCCAGTTCCCGAGTGAGTTTTTTTTGGGAGTGTATCCCGCTGTTGGGGGTAAGATAACCACTCAGGTCAGATTGAAATGCGGGTCTCACCTCCAGGTTCGTCGACGTCAATAATGTTCTTTGCCTTGGGACGAGGGGGGGTGTAACCCGCTGAGTGGAGTGGTCATATCAGGGAGCGCAGCGTCATTGAGTAAAGGCCTACATCCGGGTTCGCTGACGTCGATGATGTCGCCAGGAGCAAATGCTTTTGCCTTGGGCCGAGGGGGGGTGTAACCCACTGAGTGGAGTGGTCAGGGAGGGCAGCCGTCAATGAGTAAAAGCCTCACCTCCAGGTTCGTCGACATCGATCACCGGTGGGGCCATTTTCGAGTGCAAGTAGGGACGACTTGCAATTGCGCAGATATAAGAGGCATGGTGGTTGGAGTGTGAGAAGCAATGCCTCGTGTGAATCAGTGATGCCTGATCGATTGATCAGGCAAGATCGCCATATCATATCTCAGGATCAAACACATTGGCGCAGCAAAAAATCCTATTCTGGACGAGTACGACGGCGATTTGTGGACCACTGACAAGAAACATCGTACGTAACGGCCATATGGCGACTCCCCCCCTCTTGCGGAAGTGCCGAGGCGTCCAGCGCCGTGTTCGATTCGCCCCTCGATTCGCCCCGCTGAAGGCCACCAGCAGGAGAGGTTACGGCGGCGTTGGGGTTGACGAGATGCAGCTCTCCCTCGGGCAGGGCATGCAGAATCCGGATATGATCCACGAGCCTCTCCGCAATCGAGGAATGGTCGGCGGGAACGATGTCGAGCATAGCCCGTTCGAGAGGCGGGACGCTGTCGGGGAAACGCTGCTGTTTTACGACCACAATGTTACCCCGACAGGTGCGCAATCCTTCTGTTGCGTTTCCGGCATCGCGTAGCAGCTTTTCGATGGCGCGGTTGGGGGGGCGGACGGCAGTCAGATAGTCGTCCTGTGGCTCGTGAGGGCACTCCGAGAGAATTGCGTAGCAAACATTGTCGTCGACTGTACTTGCATAGTAATGATCTTGATCATTACAGGCGTCGCACCACCCTGGAGGATTATCGAAGACGAGGAAGTCGATCTGGGCAATCGTGTGCCACACCGTCTCCCGCGAGTACCTCACGGTGTCGAAGCGCGGTTCGGTCTTGTCCCAGGCATAGACGGCGACAATGAATCCACCGGACGAAATCCTTAGCTCTCCCTCCTTCATGACGCTCCACGTGACATCCCGGGCCGCCCGTTCGAACACCCAGGGAGACTTTTCATTTACTTATTATATAATATATCTACGCTGTGCTTCTACGTCGTGGATTCGGCTTCGCGTGGTCGAGGCCGGTAATACATTGCATCTGCAAAGTCGGGGTCCCATGTCCGCACTGCCCGACGTCGATTGTTCTGTGCCGAGGCCTCCTTTGCCAAGCATACCTCTGCTAGCCGCATCATACCGCCGCCCTTCTTGCGCAACACCTCTAACATCTTGGGGTCCCGAAACTGCCGCTGGTGCTTGAGTCCCGCCACAAAGCTCTCCAAGAGGGCGATCTCGTCGTCAAATTCGGCTTCAAAGGTGGCGGCAGATGCTTCAAACTCGCGATCGGCCTCGGTCTCGGCATATGGGCCGGCGCCGAGTGGACCTTCATCATCCTCGTCATCGGGCACTTCCCCAATCGCGCGGGCCTTCCTCCTGTGTAACATCCGGTGTTTGTCCGTCTCCATCAACAGGCACCAAGTCCGGGTGCTGCCAGAATGGCGTGGTCCGCTGTCGTTGAACCTCCCGGAAGAATCGTGTTGAGACACGTTTGACGAGCCGAATCAGGTGCTTGCAGATGAGGAATCTGCTCGTCGCATAGGAGGGGCAGGAGCAGACCCAGCGCCTGACATCCGGGCGATAGCCATCCTGCACACGGTCGGAGACGTCGCGTCCCTCAAGTTTGCGCCATACACTGAGCAGCGTCCCCCGCCAGGATGGCAGCTCCGAAATTCGCGTTCGTCCGAGGTATGTTGTGAACTTGACTAGTTTGTCGTAGTAAGGTGGACAGAGTTTTGTCACAAGGACCCAGACCAGGAGATCAAGTCGTGGGCAGTGAAATTCGTGGAGGTACTCTTGCTTTAACTTGCGCCAACTATATCAAGTGAGCTTGCCGCGTTAATTGGCAGCTACCGAAGGGACTTACTGGCTTTCGCAGATCATTGTTGTCCGTAGACGAGGGATCATTGGATGTGCGGAGCGTACCCAGATCTCCCACCGGCCGGAACGATACCAGTTTCCCCACAGGTATGCCCACGCCTCTCGAAGATCATGGGCTACGCAGAAGTCGTACATCTGCTTGACAGCCCAGTAACGGATCCCGTCTGCCCTTGGATGACAGAAGCCAGGAATCAGCGGGTGGGCATGCGAGTGCTGCTTCATCATCTCAATGAGCGGCGCCTGCTGCTCTGGTGGACAAAACAGGCGCTTGGGCGACTTTCGTTTGCGCTTCCCGAGCAGTTGCGTCACCTCTGACTCGGATGTGTCATCTTCATCGTCGGTCTCGATTGCAGCGTCTGAGCTGTCGTCTGACGAGTCGTAGATGAATGGCCCAGGTTGAATCCGGATGACCGGAATGCCGCTAGCATCGAGACGCCTCGGTGGTGATGGCTGACGGATGGGAAGCCGAACGGTGAGTCGCGATGGATTGTGTGTTGGTGTGGGTAACTCAGGCTCATCTTCATCTTCAGACACATCCTCCGGACGTCCACCCTCATATTCTTCCTTGTCCGGCTTTCCAGCTGGCGCAAAATTAGGGTCGATAAAGCTAAACTCTTCGCGGGCACGCTGTGGCTTGTACTTGGTTGTCGCCAGCTTTGTCATCCGAATACGCTTGCCGACCGCGTCATTGACATGCCACCAGCAAATGGACGTCTTCGCCTGTGGCCAGACAAGCTTGAGAGCCGCAATCTCGCCGAGGTCCTTGTCGACATGGGTGAATTTGGGCTGAATCCCATATTGTGCTTTGACGCATGACAGAAATGCGGCAAGAGTGTTCTTTCGTTTGCCCTGGCTGATAGACGTCGCAGTCGACATCAAGCAATATGCCAACGGGAAACCCCGCGTTATCGAGCTCTCCCATGACGGCGTAGAGCTCAAGATTGCGTGAATTCGTGTTATCTGATGCTGGTCAGAGAGATGTATACCTATAGTTGTGTTACTTACATGTCGCGTCCATAGCAATCTCCTGGACAGTATCACGCAGTGGCTGGGCGATTTTCCTCATACCCCAAGCCAGAATTTCGACATCCGGGGGTACTCCCACAGGCTCCAGCACGTCAACGCCAAGGTGCGCAAGCTCACTCAGTAGTAGCCGCGCAGATTTGAGCTGATTATCGTCCCGCTTATAGAATGCCTCCATTTTTTGGCGCCAGATATTGTTGACCTGCGCTCGGGAGACATCCTTGAACTTGGCTATGACCTTGACGGCGAGTTCCGCGGGAGTCAGGCTGTCGTCGGCGTCACGAATCATGGCGATTGCTGCCGCCGGCATTGATGTATCCCGGTACACAATGTGTCGCATCGCGTGTTTGAAATTGATGAATAGCGTTGGTTTGCCATTTGCGCCAACGCCTGCGGTGCGGCATGCAATTGTGAGACGACTCTTGCATGGGAAGCGATCCATGCCCGGTGTTTCGCGATGTTTCGCACCGGGTTTGGCCGAGGGCTTTGCGTCCTTCTTTCTTGCGGCATCCTGTGAGCACCAATAAGTCGTGGAATGGCCTGTCTTCAGTGCACGGTGCCGGTGAACACTGAAATCAATGATTACCTTGCAATACCGACCCCATAAATTGGCGGACTCACGTGAAATGGAACCCCGAGGCTTTCCAGACGTCGACGGCGGTCGTTTTCACGCGTTCACGCGCGTCAAACTGTGGGTCGACTGCGAGTGTTGCCTGGGCTTTGAAATGCAGGTCAAATGTGTCGTCTTTGACGCGTCTCCGCAGTGCTAGGAATAGTTCCTCGGGTGATTGGAATATCTAATCCACTGTTCACAACGGAAATCATGCGATGAGATTGTACTTGCCTCATAGGAAGAAGAATCCGTGTCAGATCCTTCGTCAGACGACTCCAGATCAGAGCTATGTCGTGCGTGGCTGTTGGGTATGTTGGACGCGTCAGTCGGGTTCAGCCCATCACGCTTCTGCTTCTTCGGAGCAGGTCCGCTGCCATCTTTGGCCTTCCTCTTCTGGCGGTACTTCTTCGCCGCCGCCCTCCCTTGCTCGAGACAGCGTGGGCATTTCTTCTTGCCAGGTGCAGCAGGAAGGCGGCAATTGGTGCCAGTACATTGGTGAGTGCCGGGCGGCGTGTTTTCGTCGTCGGATGAGTCGGACATGGCGGGGAATAAACAAAATGTGACGCGTGACTGACGCGCACGTGAGAGACACGTGAGGGCGTCGAGAAAAACAAAAGATTAAAAAGAACATTAAGCGGGTGTCGAACAAGCGACAAGAAATACTCAGAAACTACGCTATTGACCATTGATACATCAATAACATGCTAAGGTTTCAAATCGGCTGGACACATGCTGATCCCGCCCTTCTTTGGCCTGGAAAATGATTTAAAAATGTTTTTTTTTAGCGGGGATCGAACAGGCGACCTATCACGTGGGGGCGTCATGAAGGAGGGAGAGCTATGAGAGTCCCACCGGACAAAAAGTCCTTAACGCCCCATCAACTTTGGTAGGGAAGAGCAATGGAACACGCACCCCAGAGTGCCCAGAGTACTCTGTTTCCCCAGAGGCATCAGATGCCAGAGACGAAAGTGAGTCGCTGTCGCTGTCAAGCTCGTTGACGATGGGCGGCGAAGCAGTGGACATTAGCAAGCAAGATAGAGGGAGTGATCTTCACCCTTGTGCGACAACAGGCCACAACATGCTGCAAATCTAGGATCTGCAGCCAAGCCCAAGCCAGCTGACGCAAAGTACCTAGCCACGTGTTTGTCGCTAGATGCAGGGAGTCGAAAGACCTTGAAGACCCTCGTGAGTAAGAATAGCTGACCTTTGTGAGAGCTTACCGGTCTTGGAATACGAGAATTGTGTCGTGAGTGTGCAGCATTAGACGAAAGAACGCGGCCACGTCACCCAGTGATCCGATGTGACCGATGTGACCGACATTGACGTCAGTTTTTCATCCTGCCAAGCACGACCACTGACAACTACTGGACTTATGGTCCGGGTCTTCGGGCCACCCTTGGCCGAGGCGCAAACCTATCACCGTGACATCCCAACGACTCAGACGGCTCTGCTCGTCACAGATACTCATGGGCCGTCGGTCTAAGCTTGATGCGCTTGCAGATATTGGCGATGGCGGTGACTCCCAGACCATTGGTGACGAGCACATCCATATCTCGGCGGACGGAACACGTGTCATTGCCCACCTCCACAATCCACAGCCTGTCAAACGGCATCGCATAACAGAGCTGGCTGAAGTCGACGAACGGCTAGAAGGATGGACACCGGTTAACGCGGGAGATATCCAAACCGCCCGCGCCATTGCGGATACTGTCTCGTCCTATGAGATGGCCCCAGATGTCGAGCTGTTGGGTAATAAAGAGAAACGGCCATACTATCAGAGCTCGGTATTTATTTCTTCGCTCCATCGTATATACAAGCTCATTTTGTTTTCTCCAAGGACGATCCGATGTCAGTCTGGCTTCCAGAAGCCTCGGTCTTCCTCGACGAGCTTCTCCGGCGTGAGGGGCTCACAAAGCATCATTGCTCACTGTGCAGTAAAGACGACGACCGTTTGTTCCGATGCAACAGTTGTGGGGCATACGCACAGTGCCAAACTTGTGTTTTGGAAAGACATAGGCTCACACCTTTGCACCGTGTTATGGTGCGTCGGTATACTCTTGCGAGGCCGTGAACTGACAACTGACAGCGATGGAATGGCAAGTTCTGGGACGATGCATTGTTGCACCGTCCCATTGCGCAGAACGGTCTGGGTCTGGAGGTGCAATTAGGGCATGACGGCTTACCGTGCCGCAATCCAAGCGCTCCGAGGAGTATGGTCGTAATCCACACCAATGGCGTCTTCTCATTGACTGTACGCCTTTGCGCATGCGAGCTCGGTCAACAACGAAGCGACCCAGTCCAGCAACTATTGGCCTATGGCTGGTATCCGGCAACAACCGTCCAACCTGCGACTTGTGCAACGCTGGAGGCCTTAGAGCTATTCCGCCTCCTCAACGTCGTCGGGAATATCAATGCGCACGACTACATGGGGGTCATGGAACGGTTGACAGATGCGGCGAATGTCGGGAAGACACCGGTGCGAGGAGTTCGTCTCGCTTTCCAGTTGCTTATATAATTTCAGGATCGTTACAAGGCCTTGCTGCGAATGACCCGTCAACACGCATATTTGATTCGAGCAAAGCGTATGGGGCGAGGACACGAAACCAATGGCCTTCAATTAACGGCAGTTGGTGGGCTGGCGGTTGTCTGCTGGGCGTGCCCGGACGATAAGCGCAATTTACCAACAGGGTGGAGAAATGTGCGGAAGAAAGATGCGTATGTGCACAATCTAATGTGATGCTCAGCCTCATTGACGCACGCTTTCAGGTATCTTTATAAGCTTATATTGGCCCTTGATGCCAATTTCCGTCTCAAAAACCGACTGCGGGCGAATGAGCATTCTGACCCCTCTCTTACACGGGGCCAAGGGTATTTCGTGCAGTCGGATGGATACAAGAGTCATCTGAAGACATATGTGAAGGAGAAAGACGTATGTTACAAGTATGTGCTGGGCTTCGTTGCTAACCGCTGCACAGATAAGCTCTTGCGTTGCGTTTGCAGCATTACTACAGAAAGACACGCGCTTGACGACGGGCCTCCGTGTTTCAGGTGTTGGTGGGTGCGTATGCGCCCGGCATGGGCTAGTCCGCCGCCAAGGCCTCGGAGATCTGCAGAAAGGAGAAAGGTGATCTGCAGTTGACTGTCAATGACACTGACAAATAATAGATTCGCAAATATGGACTTCATCGCGTTGGCCACGCTGGAGAATGAAACTGCGCAGTCTGTTCTCTTTTCATATGACATCGCGTGCCAGTGGAAAGTACTCCTGCCGCTTCGCGCACGTCGTCTCAAGGATAGTGGCCTCCTTACAACTGACCTCGACGACTTCGAAATCCAATACGCCCTCCCCGTCTGGCACGCATCAGCCCACGAAATCACATGTCAAGTAGCAAATTCATTACGCTATGCGGTGGGTGTCGGGAAAACAGATGGCGAGGGGATTGAAAGGACCTGGTCAATCCTTAATCCGGTCGGTTGGTCAACGAAAGAGATGGGCGAAGGATCACGGCACGATGCGATTGAAGATAAGATTGATCACGTCAATTTCGAGAAGAACATTGGACAAGGTGAGTCCAGTAGTCCTTATTCAGGCAAAAGGCTTTAACGCCTCTCAGGAAGTACACTTGCTCGGAAACTCTCATCGTCGCTATCGCGGAGTCAAGCAAACAGGATGAGGAGTTTCGCGAAATCGACGGCAATATCAGTCCCGAGACCCGAAAGGCTTGGCAAGCTAAACTCGACGCATGGAAACGCGATGATGCCCAGCCAAATCCTTATGTCATTGAAGGCGGGCAACAAGGTATGCCAAGAAATCAACCGTTTTGCATGCAACTCTCAACTCTGGACAGCTGGACCATCCCAGAAAGATATTCTCAACGAGCTCAAGGCTGCGGAGTTGGCTGATGCCCGAGCCGGTAATGTGCCCCTCCTGGAGGGGACGATGACAGCAGCAGCATTTATAGAGGCTGGACTACAGTTGGAAGAATCTCAGTTGGTCTACGACCCAATCACATCAGCTGATCCGCTGACCATCATCAGGCGGAAAATCATTGCCGATACCAAAAATACCACGCTACTTACCGCCAATCGCTCCAGCCAAATTCAGGAGTCGCGCTTTTCACTGTTCAACAAATACAAGACCTTCGCACGTCGTCAGTTGACATACATGCCCGGGCGTTGAGGAGATTCGTGCGCAAGACGAAGCTCGTGCAGCGGCGAAGGAGGAAGGAACCGTCAACGCCGAAAACATCAGGCTGTACCTCCCTTCGCAGCTGACGGCTGAGCAACGGAAGCAAGCGTGTCTCCGTGCGGCAACTAACGCCGAGGCCAAGCTCTGGCTTGGCCAATGCGCCGATGCCTTGGCGGCGCTACGTGGCAGCTTACACACCCAAGCTCACGTCATCTACTGGCGCAACGCAAATGCAGTCGGGCAGAAGAGCTCAACACGCTCTGCGACCCTCATCAGCCGTATCGGACAACAAGTAGAGCGAAAGGCAGCAAAGTATCGCGACGCCCAGGCCGCTCTCGTTGCACTCAAAGGTGCTTCATACGCTCCCCAGTTCCGGAAACTTGAGCCTGGAGACGTTAATCATCGACCGGGAGTCGAGAATGATGTGGTCTCGATGAAGCACTTGGCTTCGGCTGATTCAACACGGGCGTCTCGCAATGAGCCCACAACCACTGCTATCCAAGGAAAGGTTTCCTGGATATGGTCAGCTGGCGCGGGCGCTGGAGCGGGGGAACTTCACGACTGTGAGTGTTATGTTCTACAGACATAAATATTGATGATGTCTCAGCTGTTCGCGTCGACTGGTCGAAGGCCAAGGCAAGGCGAGAGCGATGGCGGGAGGAAATCGGCTTACTTCGGGAGGAGATGAAGCGAGTGCTCCGATCACTCCGGTGGGAACAGGAGCAATGGCAGAGGCGCGCATCGGGTCGGGATGACGAGGAGCTGACGGTGGAATTGAAGTCTGGGCTTCAGGCCTACGCCTTGCGCCAAAGCGAGCTCCACAAGCGCATTGGCGCGCAGTTTTTCGCGGGGTGGGACAAACCGATCACTGGGGCTGTGCGGGATGTCATGAATGATGACAGTACCCTGTTTCGACAGCTGCTGGAGGGTACCGCGGTCACTCAAGCAATTTCGGGAACAACAGCTGAGGGTTTATCCCCGTCTGCAGCTTAGCGCACTTGACGTGGATGAACCAGAGTTGACGGCTGTTCAGCTTCCTTCATGGCGAATCAAGCATCGACAGCGTTCCGAGTTCTCAACTGACCCCCAAGATATCATGTTGCGCAACACAGAGATTAAGCTGCGGTGCAGTCAGGCAGAGAATGGCATTCTCGCTGTTCAGGCGGCATCACTAGCACTCTCGGCAACTAAAAAAGCACGTGAGCTTGATTACCGGGGGCAGGGTGGCATGACTCGCTCACAACGAAATGAGCAAAAAGGAAATCTCGTCAAGGACCACGAAATCGGCATATATAATTGTGCACGTGAGGCCTTAGTCAGTCTGGGCCATATCAAGCGGGATTCTGACAAGCCCTTCCCACCTTTGACTCGACGCGATACCCGACGCAAAGAAACTCATTTACATCGTGCTAAAGGCGACTCACGACTATTCGATGGGACAGCATGGTATCTTCAGAGTGGCACAAAGCCCTTGGTACCCATAATTGGGCAACAGGTGTTGGCTGCAGGGGGGGACTCAGATGATGAGCCACAGTTGCTTACTGGAACACAGTCTCTCAAGCGATCAGGTCAGTGTACAATTCCTTGTTGAACTCAAGTACTGAAGATGATTCCAGGGTTCCATAAATCACCCCGCCCAGCTAAACGGGTAAAAGATATTATGCCTGCCGACAGCAGCGAGGAAGACATGTCTGATACACCATGTGATTCTGATGGTACAGGCACTGATCAGGCACCCAGCAAAAGGAGACAGAAGAAGAAGAAGAAAAAGGGAAAAAAGGGTGATGGGTGGATATGGATGGATGGATGGGTGAAGGGAAGGATGGGTGATGGTTCAAAGCTTGCAGAATATAAGCAAGAAGGTGCGCTTCAGACTTCAGAGACATCCAAATTTAACTTTGAATAGCGGACCGTGTGCAATATCTTCGAGCAGAAGCGGAAATGTACCGCTGGCTAGAACAGTATGAGCGGAAACATGCTGAGCTATGGCGTGTTATTGAGCGGTTTGGTCGGGATGCTGCTGTCTGGGATGGCTTGGCAGAACATGCAGAAGCACGTGATGGGGGGATGTCAGGTGCAGTTTCATTTGCCCGAATGCAGGCAGCTATGTCCAAGCGGCTACAGCACAATGCCCGCGCAACATTCCGCAATGCTGACTTGGGTGCCCATCATGACTGGGTCTGTGCCACAAGCTTTGATGACTTGGTTTCACGCATTGATCACTGGCGTGAAGTGGTCTTCAAGTGGATGGATGATATGGTATGAACTATCCTTCAAATATAGTCACTCTGCTAATGTTTCCTCAGGGCATACACCGTGCATATAAGGATTTTTAGTATACATTTAGAGCATTCTTAGCTAAAATAATGGAGAGGATGATATGGTATGAACTATCCTTCAAAGATAGTCACTCTACTGATGTTTTTCTCAGGGCATACACCGTGCATATAAAGATTTTTAGTATATATTTAGAGCATTTGTAGTTAAAACTTAAGTTAAACTTGAGTGTTATGTTCAAACTTAAGTGGTAATTGACTGAAGTTCCTAGCCTGGAAACTTAAGTTCTGCAACTAGTCATCTGTGTATATAGCAGAATGAGAGAGGTGAGCCTGGAACTTAAGTTACGGGCCAAAAGTTAAGTTGCAATTTGCTGGAAGCAGTAGAACTTAAGATAAGCTAATTTTATTTCACGGGTGGCTGGTTACGAGGTGCGTTTCCTGGTCTTCGATACTTTTTCACCACTCATCCGCTCAAAGACTTCCTCTGTTTTTCGTGGGACCTACGCACCATTTCAAGCCGTCCCACCATCGCCGCATTTCTGACCGAGAATGCCCGCTTCACGAATGCTGGGGTACACGACATGGCGCTGCTTACGACCTCAAGTATCGGCCCACCCGCCGTATTCGCGCTGCCCAACGGCGGCGAAGGCGTGTCCGGCGTATTTGCATTCGCACTCTCGTCGCCCAGCGCCATCGGGCGAGCCTGTTTCCGGCTTATTCGCGATGCAGAAGACGGGGTGTGGCGGGCACATACGCTGTTTATGAACATGGAGGAACTGGTTGGGCACGAGGAGCGCGCGCCGCAGGAGGCGTACCGGGAGGAGACATGGCAGGAGGCGCATGAAAAGGCGCGTTGCGGAGATCGAGCGGGACCCCACGGTGCTCATCGGTGTGCCCTCATATTCTTCTTCGGAAAAATGAGGCTGACAAACCAAGTGGGCGCTGGACAGGCGGGGTTGACGTGTGCCGCGCGTTTTGGGAGGATGGGTATTCGTACTCTGGTCATCGAGAAGACGGAGAAAGTGGGCGATGTTTGGCGCAATCGGTGTGTGATAGTTCTTTTCTACTTGTGTTTCTCATATGTCCTTAGCTACCCCAATCTTTCCCTCCACACTCCCGGTGAAACGCTCGAAATACGTCCGCAGGGTGGGGTGGGAGATGATGAGAACAGGTGATGGGTGATGGGGAAGGAGGAAGGGCTAGACTCAGCTACAACCCTCAACACAACACAAAACACCCAAACCAATAGCTAGTTCCAATCAAATAACAATGTTCTTCAGTCCGTATGATGACGCGCGCAAGTTCGGGGGCTCCTATCAAAGTATATGATAGTTGCAACCTGGTAATAGTCGGTACAAGAGTTGTAGAGTAGTGTTGATATAGTAGTAGTCCAATCCGCGCGGCGGCAAGGGTCGTGAGAGTGTAGTCGGTAGTGCTGAATTAAAGTCGGACCGACGGCGTTATCGGGTCCGGTGTCAATCGAAAGTCTTGGCGCTTCTTAATACAGTTACCCCGGATCGGCGGGGTCGTTATCGTTATCGTTATCGTTGTCGTGGGTGCCCTTATCCTTTGATAATCAGGCCGTTTCGTGGTTGCCCCTACCCTTTGGTAAGCAGGCCGTTTCGTAGTCGTTTCGCGGAGGCCTTATCCTTTGATAATCAGCCAGTGAGTGCAATCACAACGGATTCACTGTCTATCTACTGACATATGAGCTAAATTTATAGATCGCCGGCGGGCTTGGCATCAATCCGCAGCCGGCAACCGTTGCCGGTCCACCGCCTCCGTCTCCGCCACTGCCCCGCCCGTTGCCTGCATCGCCCAGCTCGTCGCCAACACCGCCTCGCCCGTTGCTGCTGCGCATTACTGCGCGTATCGCCCGTCGCCTTGCCCTCTCGCTGCGGCACTACTGCGGATACTACGGCACCCGCTCACTGCCTCCACCTCACTCCTCTGACTTGACGCGTCTTTGGACGCGTCGCGCGTCGCGTCCCATCACGGAAGTCACTCCCCGTGACTTTCCTGGTACCGCCCCCGTGTCAGGTGCGTCATGTCCCCCAATGAAAAATCCTGAGTGTCCTCACTCAGCGTGGCTATGCCGGACCGGTACTATAAATGGTGCCGTCTGCTTGGCGACGATCTCATTCAATCCACCACATGTCCTACCCCGCCTACTTCGATTCTTCCGACTTTGCGGTTGATCCGCGTTTCCCTCTCATCGGAACGATTACTCCCCGCTTCCCCGACTTCTGTATCCCATCCCCTCCCGCACTACTGGAGGTCTCCACTGGTCCTCACGGCGAGACCGAATTCCCTCGTGTCCACGAGCACCCTGCCCCCGTTACTTCCAACGAAGTCCTACGCTATCCGCTGGCGTCCCGCTGTGAGCCATTTTTGCTGTATATTCCTCCTCCTAACCATTTTTGGTAGTATCTCGGCAAATGCGCTTATTGCATCGTACACGAGCTCCCTTGCCGTTTCCGCTCCTTTGGTGCCCTTGCGCCAATTGCCTCCTCGCCGCCCATAACGATTGTTCATACGTCAACCCCGTCCTCTTCATGGCTGCCCTCCGCGACTGGCGTACTGAAGAGATTACCGAGGTTTGTGGGGAATTGTCGCATCAGATCAGCGATCCAACCCAATTAGGTGCGTCTTCTCCTTCGTTCTGCCCCAAGCTAACTTTGTTCCCTTAGCCATTTGCTTCAATCACGCGATTGAGCAGGTCGACCGGGCCGTCCAAGGGACCATGGGAATGTTCGAGGTGCGTGCTCATTTCTCCTTATCCCTTGCTCTAACTTCACCCAGATTGCAACTCAAGCTTTCCACAACCTTGCCCTAGACGGCTACAGCGACCTGGCCCAGTTGCCAAACCGCTCGTCCCATCTCGAGCGCGTCCTCACGCTCGTCCTTCATAACCGTACTGTTGACTAGAAATTGTGTATGTAATCTTGCTGACTTGATCGGCAATTAATATACGTGTTCTGCCGGCTGGTCCGCTTCTATCACTTCTGTATGAGTCCGCTGCCTCGTTGCGAGCTGGTATTTTAAGCTCTAATTGAGTCCATATTCCTTTGTTTTTCTGTGTTTCAGATGCCCGCCTCACGCAGCTTCTCTGAAGTCCGCCTGCGCGCCAACCACTCGATTATCCCAGACAGTATCTCTGGAGATACGTCTTCCTCCGACGGCGCTCGCACCTTCATTACTGCGGCAGCATCCGTGGCGTGGAAGCCTTCGACGATTTCTGATCACCTGGGCGTCTCTATTGATTCCAAAGGCCGGGCCACGTTCTCCCAGGTCAGCCCTCAACCCTACCCGGTGATGGCCGCCGATGTGACCCGAGCAGTCACACACCGTCAACAGGTGCGCCTACGCGTTTCTCACTGTTTTCGACGCGTCAAACCCTCCTCTAGGGTCTCATCAACTGTGCTAATTGCATCGAGCGGGAGCTCCCTTGCTCGTTCCGCTTCATGGGCGTCATCTGTGGCCCTTGCGCTGCTGCTGGTGATGACTCATGTTGCTTCACCGATCCCATCACCCTCGTGGCCTCGCTCAATAGCTTCCGCAACGCGGAACTGGATGATATCCGCTTCGATTTGGCAAGCCGTCTTGCCGATGGTAGCGTGGACCCTGAAGACGTTGGTGCGTTCAGTCCCCTTCCTCTGCTTACTCGCTCATTCTTCCTAGACTCGGATTACGAGCATGCCTTCGTCGTGTTAACCGGGTGGTCCAAGGGGCCATCGAGCGCTTAGGCGCGTTTTCTATTACGTTTTTCTGTCACTGACCCGCCATAGGTCACATCAAGCGCCACAGAAGGCCTCGAGCATGCTTCTCGTCGTGTTAACCGTGTGGTCCAAGGGGCCATCGAGCGCTTCCAAGTGCGCGTTTTCTATTACGTTTTTCTGTCACTGACCCGCCATAGGTCACATCAAGCGCCACAGAAGGCCTCGTGGCCTCCGGGTATCAGGCCTTCATCGACTCGTGCCACAAGCCCTCCTTCCTCGGGCAGTTCATTCATCTTTCTGAGGAATCCGGAGTCCTCCATCCTTCCATTCGAATGGCTGCCGCGCAGCGCGTATTGACCCTAGCCCGCTCTCAATTGGAATAGCCAGTAGTTATTTTTGAATATATCATCTTCTTTGGTGATGGTTGCCATGCGCTATTTTTGCCAGTTCTAGACCCGCGGCATCTAGCCCTTGACGCGTCACCCTGCCGTGCCGCGACGTGTCGTGCCGAACGCGCGTCAGCCAGACGCGTCACCTTCATAGCCCTACACTGCCCATGCCAGGCGGTGCCGTCGTATAGTGACTGTAGTATTTTTCTTGACTATAAAATCGAGATCTGTAGATCCCAGATCTTCAGCCCGGTGCCCATTCATTTCCTCAATTCAACAACTCCTCTATTCAATGTCTTCAGCTTCTATTATCCGCCTCTCGTCGGCAGAGCTTGAGTCTGTACTCCAGATTCTTCTCGACGTCCGGAAGCACATGCCTCAGGACCCTGTTGATCGGGGACGTTCCTCGTGGAGCGAGCCAACACAGTGGTAATTAGCTGGCTTTTCTTCTTTTGGTAATCTTTTCCTGATTTGTCCAGCTGAAACTCAAGGACGCCATTTCCTCATTCGTGGAGAATTCGTCTGCTGCCGAGTGCGTGTTTGCGCTCCGGACCGCCATGGCGCGTCACGGTTTTTCGTATTGGAGGCCCGTTTGGGCGCATTTTATCAGACATCGTGGTCTTTTGTTCCGACATCTCCCGCCTTCGCCGTGCCGCTCGCAGCATCAAACGCGCCACCAAAGTCTCTTCTGATGCCGCCGGCCGAGCGCCCTGACGCCGCCCTTGCCGACCTTGCCGAGTACGCGGCACGCCTGGCCGACTGGCAGGTATTTTGTTCTCCTTTCTAATTTCTCCTGTTTCTGACCACTTTCGTCAGGCCCTAACTCTCATGGCTCTGATGCCATGCATTGCTCTCCACCTGCCGAGGCCGCGCCGGCTCCTCCCAGCACCCCTTCCGATATGCCAGCGCTCGAAATAGTCACTGATTCAGGCAAATCTGCGTCCGGTACGCCGTTTTCCCATTTTGATACCAATTTTAACCTCTAATAGTGAGTATTTCAGAGCTTCTTTCGCCAGTGTCCAAATTGCTTCTCCAATTTAGTGGACTCCGCCCGGACGATTCAAAGTCTTCGGTATTGTTTTTCAATTTTTGCATAATATTTTCGCCTAATTGGGCACAGATCCAGTCACCGATGCCGTTGTTACCCAAAATCCAGCTTTCGAGGCTGTTCCAGCGGGTTCCTCCGCGGCCCCACGTAAACGTGCTCGATCCCCCTGTCCATCACCGTCGCCATCAGGCAGGCAATCGAAACGGCAGGGTGCACGTGTACCCTCCTCCGCCGTGCTTCCCACTGACTCACTATGCTTCTAGCTCGTCACACCCGATCTCCTCCGCGTCCAGCCGCAATCACCCCGCAGCAAGGTCCAAGCGAAGAAGCAGCCATCAGGAGGCTTCTCTCCATTGAGTCCCGCATCCAGCGGGCTCGAGCGGCAACGCGAATGCCTTGCCTGGACCATCGACACGTTCTACCAAGGTGCTGCGCCCACGAACCCGGCGCTTTCAGCCGAAGATTGTTGTGACTCGTGCTGCGGAAGCTCGGTGCGTATCCATCTAGCCCTCTTCCCTTTCAATTAACATTTGCTTCCGCAGGACGCGTAAGCGTTGCCAGTACTGTGACTCCCTCAGTCACTCCATGAAGTACTGCAACCTGCTGAATTAGCCAGTCCTTTCTTTTCCTGCCATATTTTCCTAGTGCCCTGTACTGGTAGCCACTTTTTGTACTTCTTTATTTTTCGGATATTTAATTTGATGCGCCTGATGCGCCCTTCCCGATTTGGTAATAGTTGCCCAATATGGCTGCTCGGCTTGTTCGGCATTGAATTAATTCGAGGTCTTCTAATTCCCGCGTTGACCAAAATAGGTATAGGTTCTGAGTGCGCCCCCTTCCCTTTCAATTAATAAAAACCCACTGCCCCCAGTGGAATATTCCTTCGTGCTACCATTCATCTTTCCCTCTCAATCGACACGCAAATCTCCAGTCGATACGCGCGCTATGGTCGACGAGGAACGCGTGCTAAAGGATATATTCGATCTTGATGCCGCGGCTCGCCTATCAAACTATGCCCGCACGATCTTGCTTGACGGGTTTAGCGACGCCACGGAGCGGTCCGAGTTTAAGCTTGAGGCGATTAAGTTTGCCGTGCGTCGTCCTATTCACTCTACCCTGCCTAGCTTACTGAATTATAGCTTGATCGTGCGGATGAATTTTCCGCTACTGCATTCCTCACCCCAACTGGTGGCACCATGCCTGCGCAGGCCGTCACGACCATCTGGCGGTCTTGTTTCGAAATGCGGTTTCAATTCGACGGCCCCGACCACAAGGAATATAAGGCCATTCGACATTTGTCCGACAGTCTCCTCTTTACTCTCCGTTGTGCAGAAGACGGCGCCGCTGCTATTCGCACTGCTGAACGCCGTCGACAGAACAACCAGGTAATTTTCCTTCTAGTCTTTCCCGTTCGCTAATCCCCTTCTAGCTCACCATCAAGAAACCTCGCTATCCCAGCACATCCGAATACGACGCAGACGAGGCCATGTCTTATGGTACGTCCCACTTTCTCTTCCGCTTCCATCGCTAACCCCTCAAAAGTCGACGATGAAGACTCGGATATCGAAGTTCTGGACGCTCCTCCGGCTCCTGTGGCAACGGGTACTCAAAGTGCCATGGTGCGTGGTTATTTTCTTGTCTTGCTTCAAGTCCTGACGCGTTTACAGCTCTATGCTGTTGACCACCAGTCTCCTTCTCCTCCTCGGACTGGTTCTGTTGCTCCGGCGCGTGGTGCGTGCCCGTATTCACGCGTTTTGACGTGTACTAACCCGCCTTCCTTCTAGTTCTCTCGCCCGAC